AATAATAATAATAATAATAATAATAATAATAATAATAATAATAATAATAATTATTATTATTATTATTATTATTATTATTATTATTATTATAGATTGTAGACTGTGTTTTAAAAGAAAAAAAGGCTCACAAATATGAGACAAGCCTCGCTGACTGAACAATAGCACTGTGAAATGTTAGTTTGGTGTACTTTGTACTGACACAGCGTATTTCCTTTTAATTTATCCATACATTTTCCAAAAGTGGTTAATAAAGTAAGGTACTTCAGGTACCACATTTTTCGGACTATAAGGCGCATTAAACGAAACAAAACAGATAAGTCAAACTTTATTCAACTCATTCACAATAACCACATACAATCAGTTCGAGGTCAGTAAGCACAACCAGAATTAATACATAAGGCGCACTGTCGATTTTTAAGAAAATTAAAAGGATTTTAAGCGCACCTTGTAGTCTGAAAAAAAAACCGGTATTTTAAAAAGCCATACAAATGAGCTTCTCCAGTGCTTGCTGCACAAGCATCAATTTTTAATTGTCATTGTCCACATTTTCCCTTTTTAAAGTGATACTTTCTACAAAAAGTTTAGTCTTGCTTTTTGATTATGTTTAGAGAATAAGATCATTTAGTTAGTATTAGGAAAACATTAAGATTTTTGTGCAAGCTGGATAAACTCTTGTAAATGAGACCTTGTGACTCAATGAGACTAACCTGAATAAATAAAGGATGAAAAAAAAAAACCCAAAAACATTATTTTTAAGACAAAATGTTCCAAACAATTGTTTTTGAAAAAGCCAGCAATACTTTATCATCTAACGCCACTAATGCAGTAGCTCTCAAAGGGGTCCCCGGACCCCTGGGCAAGTGTCCGCAAAAAATAATAATAATAATAATTTTTTTACAAGCATGTAGATGTTTAACAACCTGTTAAAATACAGCAAAATGCAGGAAATCACATCTAATTTATTCAAAAATTTCTGGGGGAGGATCCCAAGACCCCCTGCACCAGCCCGCACATTATTTGCGTTCTGGCGTAGATCGGTTTACAAATGAAGTCCTACTGCTGTTTATGATTCTGTTCCGTTTTATATAAACAGTTTTCTGTAATAATTTGAAAAAGTGGCAGTACATGTACAGTATGTTCATTATGTGATTAGGTAAAGTTTTTAAGTGTTTTTGATGCTGTTAATTTTCTCAAAACTGTCATTTTTGGAAGTTGAAATTAAAAAACTGTGTGTCTTGAATGAAAAAAATTGAATTAACACTATTAAAGAAGAGTATTTATGGTACATAAATGTTTCCATTGCATTAAAATAGACTAATTGAAGAAACTTATTTAATAAACATGATGGTTATGAGGGGTCCCTGAACCCAAAAAGTTAAAGAACCCCTGCACTAGTGCTTTGTTTTGAGTTGAACTTTGAACTACATTGGTTTAAAATGGTGACAAATAGTTTTTCTTAAATGTTTGGTGAGTACAAAGGCAACATAAGGTGGCAATTTATTGCAATTTGCAGCTCTTTTCTCACTATCATGGACTTGTGAAGGATTCAGCAGTGAATAGTATAAAAAAGTTTGCTCTACTTTTTTCAGTCAACTCATATTTAAACAGAAAAATACAGCTTTTAAAATATCACAGTACAACGCACAGAAAAAAATGTCTTTGAAAAACAAATATAAATTGAATTTACAATTCTGTTCCATTACCGTCTGTATTACTACGCAGCTGGCGGAGAAGGGTGACCTGGCTCTTCTGGAGAACCTGGTGAGGAAGAGCCCGGAGGTCCTCGGTGAGAAAGACGAATGTGGAGCGAGTCCCCTCCATCATGCTGCCGCTGGGGGCCATGTCACCCTCATTCAATTTATCAGCTCTGTGGTCGACCCGCAGGGTAAGCAAGCCTCAGTCACTGATCATAAAACAATCTGCAGCCTCATAACTTTGTCTTTAAAGAAGTACATTAAGTTTTTTTTTTTTAAGGATTCTACAGATTTAATGCATTTTCATGTGTTTTTGTATGTTTGGGGCTCAGAGATGAACAGCTGTGATGATCATGGCAACGTGCCCCTGCACTGGGCTGTGGATAGGAACAAGGTAGAAAGCTGCAGGATCCTTTTGGACCTGGGGGCCGACCCAAACATCCTCAATATGGCCCTCCTGTCCCCTTTGCACCTGGCTGTCAGCCTCGGACACAACAGCCTGGTGGGAGTAAGTGTCCAAGTAATGGAGGAAATCCATCCATCCATCTATTATCTTTTACCCGCTTCTTCTTTGTTGGATCACGGGGGTCACTGGTGCCCATGTCCAGCCATTACTGTGGGAGAGAGGCGGCACACACCCTGGACAGGTAGCAAGTCCATCACAGAGCCGAAGTAGAAAATTAAAGTTTAAATCATTTAGATTTATTTATAGCCTTTCCCTGCGTCAAGTCTTTCCTGTCACTATTTCACCGCTTTTAAAAGTCACATCGTTGAAGTGGGGTTCTATGAGGAGATTATGAACAAGTGATATCTTACCTGTTGCACACAGCTGCTTGAACAACATCGTTTTGGAGAAATCGAGACTTTTGTCAATCTATGAGGTTATAAATAGTCAGAGCAGGTGAAAATCAAAAGTGAATTGAGTTTTTTTTTTTTTAATAGTTAAAGTGATTTTTTAAAATAAACCTTTGAACGCTGTTTACCTTAATTACATCTAGTTTTGTGGTTATTTGCAAACGTTAGCCTTGACACGTTGAAGACAAACTGGGACACTTCCTGTAAGAGAAGAGCAGTGCTTTTCCAAATTGAAGTTGTTCAAAAGCTATCTAAAGCAGGTAAGATATTTATTGTTTAAAATTTTCAAAAATTGAAGTGCTAAGAAATAAAGCAAAAACAATAAGCTCAGTTATGGTCAGATTTAGATTTAAGCATTTTTCTTGACTTTAAACAGCCTGATGACTGTACACTCCACGTGGAAAGCCTGGTAATGGTGACATTTATCACTTCTTCTCCATCTGTCACTATGGTGGAGAATAAAGCACATGCAGATGAGATGAATTTGGTGATATTCACAGGATTTCATTTCTGTGCCCTGCAGCTTCTTCTGTCCTACAACTCCACCGACTGCAACCTACAGGGAGATCTTGGAAACACCCCACTGATCCTGGCCTGCTCCATCAACAACTGCGAGGCTTTGAGCACACTGGTCCGAACCAGTTTGTTAACAATAACTTCCTGTCTGAACAGATGACTCACAGACCAGTTGGTTTTAAACAAATTATCTGTTTGTCTTTCTTCTCACTCCTCCTCCATCTGCTCAAAGATTAAACATGGAGCCCACCTGTGCCAGCAGAACAAGCTCGGCCATTTTGCCATGCACGCCGCCGCCTTCGCAGGCGCAAAAAAAGCGATGGAAGTCATTCTGAAGGCAGGTATGACATTGGGAATAATCTGTTGTTAAAGCGCAAAGCATTAACATCCTACAAGGCCAAACAGGAAACAAGCTTAGAGATCAGCTGAGGAGATCTTTTACAGTGAAATCCTCATCATTGGCTGGTTTGCTTGATAAATCTGGGGTTAATGAAGGAGCTCGCAATATCTATAATACAGTGTATACAGGAACACATGCAACAAACAGGCAAAAACTGAAGTCAGAGAAGCAGAAGTTTATAAGAGTCAGCCATGCAAATGTTATTTTTATGCAGTCCAGCAGTTCAGTGCATCATCAATACTAAGGAACAATTAATTGAATTCTGTGCTGCTGGCAGGAGAAGAACACGGCCACTCTGCGGTGAGCCACATCAACTATTTGGACAAGTCCAACAGCAGCCCTCTCCATCTGGCTGTGCGTGGCGGGAATATCGAGAGCATCCGCCTCTGTATCGCCACCGGAGCCAGAATAGATCAGCAACAGGTACTCTCCTCCCAGAAGAGAGCATGTAAATATCTACGATCGCCTTTCACAAACATTCAAACTTTCTATCGTGGAGCCAGACGCTCATTTGGTTGTCGCCACAGCTTTTCCTATCGCACAGCATGAAATAGTCATAACTATGCAGATCACAAATGCTCTGATTCATCTTCCATGTGTCCTTTGCATGCTTTGCCAGATTTGCATTGTTATTTTTAAATATTTTGTTGTCGTTTTGAACCTGGAGCCCATTTGCCTACACCTGCAGAGCGTCTTCCCGGACACTCGTCCGAGACTTTGTGCTGTCCGAACGCGTCACGCTTTTCACACCCATCTGGGAGCGTTTGTCACTGGGCTGGTGGCCAGAGCTAGAGCAGGAATAGCCAGTATAGTAATAGCTTCAGTTGACTAAAGTGATACAAATTACCTCCACTTACATGGAGAGTGGAGTGGGGCAATCAGTGCCCCCTACCCCCCATCCCCACTCCTGCCAGTCCTGGTTATCTCATTAAAGGCTTGTGTTACGGCCCCCGTGTTCAAGCAGCAAGTCTCTCCTCTAATGTTACACTGCAGAGTGCACAATATATTTGTTTAGCAGTAAGTTGTGCACTTGTTTGCATGGTCATTCCTGCTTTTGTGATTTTGTTCCGCTCCATCGTTCTTAGTCTGTTCTTGTGCAAATCTTCCAGAGGAACACTGTCATGTTGTATCTCCTCTAATGCGCAACATGTCAATACTTTGTGGTGTAGAACGATCGGTGCACACCTCTTCATTTGGCCTGCACTCAAGGCGCCATTGAGGTGGTCAAGCTGATGCTCTCCACTGTTGATCAAGTAGATGACGTCATCAATCTAACTGATGGGGCTTGTCAGACCCCTCTACACAGGTGGGTTCCCCTAATCAATGAATACCGGTGTGTGTTTACTGGGTATCTTGTCAGGAATCCATGTCTATATTATTAAAATGTGTTAATGTTTAAGACTTAAAAGGATCAATTACATATTGTGAAGTTATGTAAAAAAGATGACAATTAATATCTTACCTGCTGTAGATAGCTCTATGAACAACCTCAGTTTGAATAAATTGGATTGAAAACTAAAAAAGACTCAACGAAGCCAAGACCAAATTCACTTGTTTTCCTCTTAACTGAGGTTTTACAAAAAGCTATCTGAAACAGGTAAGATATTTGTTCATATCCATTTTTTTTTCTCCAGAACCACACTTGAAAAAAAATTTGGAATTTTCTGGTCAACTTCCTTGATTGTCCACGTTTTATCACTATTATCTATTGTAATTGATTCTACAAACTGAACAAGTAAAAGTTTGAGAGATATTTGCTAACAAATCAAATGTACATATTTTTAAAGTAAGTTGTGTTTTTATATGGTGCTCATACTATAAATTAGCACTACGATCAAATACCCAATAAATTCCACCACAATAAATATTACTTTCACCTAACAAATTCCTTTTCTTTCAGATGAACTGCTTACATACTAAAGTAGATTTTTAAGGTCAAATGCGTTAATTTTTATGATAATTTATGACTTTTTGTATAAAAAAAAAAGGAGAGAAACACTTATGAGAGAAAGTAATGCACTGGCTAACAAAAGCATTTGTGAACAATAAAACATGTCACAGCTTGCCCAACCTTATTACAGTCACATATTTTCTGTAAAAGGAAAGTTTCTCATATGAAATGAAAAACCTTACATCATAAAACCATATTTAATTAGGGAAATATTTGATTTGTTTGGAAGTTTATTTCCACATGGTTGAAAATATCACTTTTAAATCATGAAGCACTAACATGATCAGAGCCACCGTGAGTTTTATCTATAAAATATAATGTGCTAAATGTTGTTTGTGTTGCACCATCAAAAGCTGAATTAAGAATAAATGTCCACACTATAGGATTTAATATTTATTTTAATAAGGACAGAATTAACAAGAAAAATTGCATTTCCTGCAAAAATGCAGTGTGAATGCTGATTGCAGAAGAACTTGCTGAATAACAGCTGAAATTAGGTTAAAAAAAGCATTCTTAAATGTAGCTGAAATGGAAGAACACACCTAAATCAACAGAAGAAAGCAGACATAACACATGTTTGCTGAAATAGGTTTAAATGAGCAGAAATTAGCACAAAAAATAGGGAAAATAGCTTAAAAAAATGCTGAAATAAGAAAAAAAAATGGCTGAAAAGTAGCTGAAAGGCAGAAAGAAGCTTAAACTACCAGAAGGAAGTGGAAAGAAAGAGCTGAGCTAAAAAATGTGGGATTGGCTGAAAAGGCTGAAATTAACATAGAACAGCTAAATAGTATCAGAACTAGCTGAAACTAGCATAATTAAGCTGAAAGATGCATAACAAGCTGAAAGGAGAAAATTAGGCTGAAAGTAGCAGAAATGACCATGAAAAACTTGAATTTAAAACAGCCAAGACTAGCTAAAAATGCACAAAAAAAGCTGAAAGGTTAAAACAAGCTTAAATTAGCAGAAGAAAGCAGAAAGAACAGGTTTGCCCAGTTACGCTGAAAAAAGTGGAATTTATCTGAAAAAAGCTTAAACTAGCAAAAAAAAAACCAACTGAAAAGTTGCTGAAAAAAGCAGAAAGAAGCTTAAATTTTGCTGAGTTGTGCTGAGCAAAGTTCAAATAAATGTAAAAATATGTGGAATTAGCTGAAAAAGCTAAAATTAGTATAAAACTTGAATAGTAGGTGAAATAGTAGAAAAAGCTGAAAGAAGCATAAGAAGATGAAATTAGCAGAAAGAAGTTAGAAGAAGCACAGAAATGTTGTAGTTAGCAGAACGAAGCTGGAAAGAGCACAAAACAGCTGAAAAAAAACAGCTTAAAATAGCTGAAAGTAGCTGAAAAAAAGTTTAAATTTGCACAAGGAAGCTGAAAGAAGCTGAACCAGAACAAAATGTGAAAGCAGCAGTAAAAGGTTGTAAACAGATTTGAAGGATGTAAAATGAGCTCAATTCATTTTCTATGAGAAAAAAATGGCAGAAAAGGCTAAATATTTTAAAAAGCTAAAGCTGCACCAATACCAAAAGTCATAGCAGGATTGTCCTGCAAGAGCTGAACATTTTGATGTATGATTTGTTGAATTAGCTTGAAAACTGCAGGACAAGAAAGATGCTGAAAAACATACAGGAGAAAAATGGATCACAATATGAACGCTTCATAAACATTCACACAATAAGCTGTAAAATACTGACCAATATATGTGATGGTGTCTTCAAATGCAACATCTTTGCTCCATTCTGTCTCCACAAACAAGAGAATTCTAGAATACCAAATATTTTTAACTGTATCATTCAGTAGAGATGCAAAACTTCAGTAGACGACTGAGATTCTATGATTAATGCAACTGCTGCAATCCGGTGAAACCATCAAACAGCAAAAGAAAATGTGGTTATTATATCACACTCTGACAAAGCCGAATCAGAGCTGGATTCTCTGTTTTCTGACAACAGCAAGAGGAAGACTTTAGCTGTCGGAGCCGAGTGTACGGGTTCACAACAACTGTGTTCACTCTTCCAGGGCTACAGTATTTGACCACGCAGAGCTGGCAGAGTTCCTCATTTCACTGGTAAATATCAAACCCTACAAACACACAGGAACATCCTGCTTCAGTATCAGGAATTTTGTTCACAATCTGGTTTTATTATATAAATTCAGAACGTGCTTCTAAAATTAAACAACGTTTTTGAGATTTTTAAGATCGTCTAAACAAATGTAACACAGCTGAGTTTTATCTTTATTCTTTGGATTTAACTCATTAGAGTGTAATCAGCTGATATGTACACAACCCTGTTTTTATTATTGCACAATATTTGTCACTTTGCATGCACCAGACGACTCTGTAAATGTTCAAGGTGATGACCATTGCTTGCAGAGCAAATGACCCATCTGTTGCACAAAGGTTGTTTAAATAGAAGTTAATTGTTAGGAGGGGGATTAGTGTATTTAACATAAACTCATTTTGTTGGCAAACACTGTAACAGGATGTAAACACAAGCCGTTTTAGTGATAAAACCATAAAACGAAGCCATTAAGCAGCAGCTTTAGGAGGATGAATGACTCATTGTCTTTCCGATAGCTTATTAAATTAAATTAAATTAAATTAATTAAACTGGACATGCAGGCATTTATTGTGCTGTTTTAGTTATTGGGCTTCCACCTAATTATTTTAAACATTACTGTTCAAACTTTCTGCTTGTTTATGGTTTATTCATAATTTAAAAATTATATTTAATTTTATTGTCTGTGACAAAGTTTTTTTTTTTTATTTACTGTATTTTTTGGACTATAAGGCGCTTTAATTTTCTCAAAAATGGACAGTGAGCCTTAAAATCAGGTGCACCTTATGTATTAATTCTGGTTTGGCTTACTGACCTCGAACCAGTTTTATGTGATTATTGTGAATGAGTTGAATAAAGTTTGACTTGACTGTTTTGTTTCATTTAATGCACTTTATAATCCGGTGCGCCTTATAGTCCGAAAAATACGATACTCTAGCTGCTTGAATGTTGAAATGCAATCTAACATAGTGAGACTTAAAATAGCAGCCAACATTTTTTTTAAGTACATTAAGAAGCTTGTAAAATGCATCATTAAGGTTGATTTAAAATATTACAAGAAAGTCTATCTGCATGGAAGAGGAAGTTAAAAAAAATGAAGGATTACTTTGTACTTTTTTTCCATTAAAGGTAAGATTTGTTTATAACCAGCTGATGCTTTTAAAGGTGTAAATCCTGTAAATAAAGGTTCATGAATTTGCACTTAATGTCCACTTTCATATTAATGGGAAAGCTTCCTGGGAATGAATGCAGAAGTATCAGGTTAAAAAAAAAAGCTCCTTCCTCACAGGTGATATTCAGGCAGGAGAAATAGTTTAAGCTTGTTGCCCAACACTGCAAAATAATCCTGTTGTTCATTGCTGCTTTTGTTGTATATTTGAGGCAACACGTTTAATGGTGGGGAACATTTAACAGAACTATTTACATATTTAAACTCTATTTAAATCAATTATTTCTTTGTTTGCTTATCTCTGCTTTTAATCAGAATCACCTTTATTATCACTGTACTGAGATACAGCGAGAATATGTTCATACAGTCGTCTGAAAGATGGGTGGAGTGCACGTAGCTGCTGCAATGATAGCGCGGCCTTTTATCCTTGTCAGAATACTTTTTTTTTAGATAGAAAAGGGGGGGAAAGCCATGAGGAGAGGGTAGTGGCATTACAAAAAAGATCTATTTTCACCTTGTCCTATCAGGACACGAGTTAAGACGTCAAAAAACTCTGCCAGCAAGCACATTTATGAACATGTTACATATATATTTGACGGCAAGGCGGTCCTTGAAGCACTTCCAGACAGACCATAGTCCTGATAAGATGATGGTCAACCGGTACAGTTCTTATAAGTCTCCACAAAAGTTCTCGGGGGGGGGGGGGGGGGGGTCAGATTAATTTAAGCTACAATTGTTGATTTTTTTCAGCCAGACTGTATTTTCTGTCAGCCTTGAGTCCTACTGGTACTTTCCAGATCCAAAATGGTCAGATTAGAATGCATTCTATCCATGCTTTCAAGACCCTCCATGGTCGTTTCCAACATGTTGGCGAGTCCCAAAGTCGCATGTGGTCTGCAATTCTCACAAATCCCTTCTATCTTACTGTTTAGCTCATAAATACGCTGATTTTGAGTCCTCAAAGCATGAACCAAACCTTCACAAGCAAGCAGCCTGATGAGGGCCAAATTAGCTGCAGCTGTCTTCTTTTATGTTGATAGACCACGAACCAGCCGATTCCAAAAAGCAGGAAACCTGTTATCATAAATCCAGTTGTATACGTTTTTGGCATCCTCCTGAGATTCTCAGTGGGACATGAGGGCTCTCCAGGACCCTGTCACTTTGTTGAAAAGATTTTGTCGGTTGCTTTGAAAGTCCAGTTGATCATCTTTGAGCTGATTAGTTGATCTAATCCACTTTGGTCTTGGCTCTACTTGGTTAGCCCTAAGTTAATCAAAATTAAACATTATTTTTCTAAATAGAGGATATTTAAGAAGCTGCAATAGTTCATAAGCATATGTGAAATATTTTAAGAGAAGTTTTCTTGCATAAGCTTGCTACTGTCACCCTACAAATCTGTGATGTAAACTATTCAACACATACATTCATTTAAAGTCTATTTAACTTTTTTATATACACTACACTTATGACTAAATATACTTTCCACAAAGCTTGTATTAACTACTGCAAGCGTGTCAAAATGGATGAACTAATTTGAGTTTTATATGCCTTTTCTCTGCAGGGTGCAGACCTTAACAGCACTGATTGTAAAGGAAACTCTCCCTTGCTGCTGGCGACCAGCTGTGGAGCGTGGAAAACTGTAGCTCTGCTGCTGTCAAAAGGTGAGACACAAAGCTGTGCACCTCAACCAGGAGAGCAGAGGTAATTTAGGAACAGGTTGTAAGCATATGCTTGTGTCTGTTTAAGGAGCCAATGTTAATGTGAAAGACAAATGTGGATGCAACTTCCTTCACCTGGCCATCCTGCAGCCCAAAGGACTGAAAAATCTCCCAGATGAAGTACTGCAGGTACTCTCAATGAGTCATTGTCGCTTAGCAGTTAATTAATTAATCCATATCACCCTCTGTTACACTTTGTCACACCATATCAAGCTCAATAACAATTTTATTACACCCCTTTCTGATGTCTCAGGCTCCCTGACACTATATTGTATTCTATCACATTCTATTAAGCTCTATGAAGCTCTACGACACTCTATGAAACTCTACCAGGCTCCATGACACTCTGTGCTCTGTCATACTTTATCAAACTATCTGGCTCCATCCCACTCTAACAGGTGATGTTAAGCTCTGTCACTTTATCATTCTCTATTGTGCTTTTAAAAACATGATGATGCTCTATCAGGCATTATGATGCTGCATCAAAGTTTCTCACACTCCATCTCTGTGACACTAATTTATACAATAACATGCTCTATCACACTCTATGGTTCTCTACCAGGTTCCAGGCCATTCTACTGTATTCCACCACACTTTATCACACTCTATCTGTTTCTGTCACACTCAAATGGGATGTTTTATGCTCTAGTAAGCTCTGTCACGTTCTGATACACTCTGTTATCCTCTTTTACACTCTATCAAGCTCTTTCATGCTATAGCAGGTTCATCAACAATATATTACACTTTATTAAACTCCTTTATGATCTATCAGGCTCTTGCTGATACTACATTATACTCTATCACATTCCTTTAAGCTCTATGACATTCTAACATGCTCTATCACACTCTATGGGGCTCTAGTAGACTCCAGGTCACTCTACTGTGCTCTGACACACTTTATCACACTATCTGATTCTGTCACACTCCAATGGGCTGTTTTATGCTCTATCACACTCTTATACACTATTAGCATCGTTTATACTCAATCAAATCAAGCTCTTTCATGCTATATCAGGCTCTAACATCTATCACACTGCATAAGATGTTTTACCAGGCTTCATGACGCTCTACTGTGTTCCGTCATGTTTTATCAGGCTATATCATACTCTGCCAGATTATAATAGCCAATTTAACACTTTATCATACACTATCATGCTCTTTAAAAAATTATCATCCTCTATCATGCTTTATGACACTATATTACACATTATCACACATCCTCTCATCAGGTGCTGTGACAATTAATTATACTCTATCATCCTCTATCACACAATTCTATGTTATCAGGCTTTATGACACTCTAAGATGCTCTGTAACAACCTATGGTACTCGACCAGGCTCCATAACACTCTAGTTTGCTCTGTCATTCTTCATCATACTCAATCTTGTTCTATCACTCTCTAATAGATTATATTATGCTCTAGTATGTTCTATCACACTCAGATAAACTATATAATGCTCTTTTAAAGAATTTATCAAGCTCTTTAACACTCAATGACACTAACTCTGTGGTACTCTGTGATGCTCTATTAGGCTCTATGACACTCTATTGTGCTCTGTTACACTTTATTGCACTATATTTAGCTTTATTACAGTCTAATATATTGAATTATGGTCTATAAAGCTCTATCACACTCTTTCACACTTATGAAATATAATGCTTTATCATGCTCTGTCATGGTCTGTCATATGCTCTTCAATGCTTTCTCATGCTCTATTACACATAACAGGGCACCTAACATTCATCCACCCTTAAAAACCTCATCGAAAAACAATACAAAACAATTGGGTTTCTCAGCCATGCCCACACAGCATGGTCTTTAAGTAACAAACAAAAAAAACTACAACTTTATTTACAGTATTAAAGTATTTGTGAACCAGAAAGGTTTCTGCTGACTATTCGAAAGGTGTTCAGCGCATAGTTTAGCCACTGAAATTGACCAGTGGTCTCATTTACCTATGGATGAGCAGCTGTGTTTATAATGTAATCATGTTCTTGGAATTTAAGCTGGTGAAGATGAGAACCACTTTATTTTTGTCTGTGACCTTTATTGTACTATACAGCAACATAATTTGCATTAAATACTGAATGACAGTAATTCCTTTGTTAGTTTAATATCTGTGACACAGAAAAGGCTTGATTACCATACTTGGAGCATACAGCTATGAGGCTTTTAAAGCTAAGAAAACATATTTTTCTGTATAGTGTAAGTATAAATGATATGCACAACAACTTATTTATGTAAAGCTGTGATTGGCTTATTATATGTTATAATACTTGCACGTTTTGTGCCCTGGCAATGATCTATTATGTGGTTATTTTGCTGTGGAACAGTGGGTCAGAAGGCCTTATATTCCTGAATAAACTACTTTTGACTTTGATAATTTGATCAAAATCATCTCAGTGCACAAAAGCAGACAGTTAACATTGAATGAGCTCTTCTTTTCAGTACATTCAGCTTGCTTCAAATTTAACATTAATGTCGTGATAATGAACTTTTTTTAAAATTCCATGTAGGCCCTCAACTATTTTAATATGATCATAATATGTTATTTTGTTTGATTTCAGCATAACAATGTGAAGGCTTTGCTGAACTGTGAGGATAACGAGGGCTGCACCCCGCTGCATTACGCCTGCAGACTGGGTATCCATGACTCGGTGAAGAACATGCTGGGCCTCTCGGGGCAGGTTGGCCTTGCTTGCAAGTCCAAGGACAAGAAGTCTGCTTTGCATTTTGCCGCTCAGTAAGTTCAATTGGTCCCTGAGGAGCAGGATTTTCCACACACTGAGCCAAATAACATTAATTAAACTGAAAGTTGATTACTAAAGTTGCGCGACCCTTGGAAATTTCTTAAAAAGTGTGCATCTATGTTGGCGTAACAATTTGTGTTTAGTTCCTTTTAAACGTTCATTGCATTGTTTATCTTTGTTAAAGTAAAAAATCTTTTACTTTCTGTTAGAATTCCTAAAGTTTCCCAATTCAGTTGAAAGAAAAACCACCCAGATATTAAACAGATGCTCTGACTATTTGCTTGTCATTGATCAATGATAGTCTAAGAGAATAAAAGGTTAATCAAAGTATTGCTTCTTCACAAGACACTGACTTTTGATCTAAAACCATGAAACCAAGAAATCCAGTGGGCGGTAATTAAACATGATGACCAATGATTAATGAAAGCTGTGACTGCATCGAAAAAAGTAAACGCAGTCCAGTTGTTTTATTCCAGTGGGAAATTTCTACACTGAGTTTTTCGAAGATTAATTGCAGTAAAGCACCTACAACCCACTGATCTGATGAAGCTGTCACAAGAATTCAATTAGTCAGAAACGTGAGGACTTTCTGTAAAAAAGTGAACATTAAGCATTATTTTTATTGATTTTTTTACATGCACACCCATTCCAGTAGTGCCAAAGGGCAAAAGACCATACTATGATATCATACTTAACTCATCAGTTGTAAGTATACTTCCACTGCTTAGCTGCAAGCAGATAGTATGTTACCTGTTCTGGATAGCTCTTCATAGCTGTGGAAATAAGTTTCAGTTGAAGGGTGCATGTGCGAGTTAGTTAGAAGACTATCATGAAACCAAATACACACGGTGTGTGCATTTCACTATGACTACTGTGCAGCTATGCTTGTATATACTGTATGCCAAAAACAACAACTCAGTAACAGCAAAATATTGGATTTTAGGTATGTAATATGGCGCAATGTAAAATTTTTGTTTTGTTTAATTCCATTAATTCTGTAATTATGTGTTTGGATTCAACTATTCTTTTGCATTCATCGGGGCGTGCTGCAGCACTTTTCATGCCCTTACTTCCCATGTCCTTGTAGCTCTTTGATTAACCTAAGCTTATGCTGACAATCCAACAGCTAGTCTAAATGATAACAAGGCCAAAGTGGAAAAATATATATTTTTTATAAAATCTTTATTTTTATTTTTTTAATGGAGTTGACTGCAGCAATCCACTTTAGTCTTGGTCATGCTTGGACTATTCAATTCAGTTCAGCTCAGTTTATTTATATAGAGCCAAATCACAACAGAAGTCGTCTCAGGGTACTGAACAGAAACATTCATATATAAAAATAAGTTAACAAAAACATTCATAAAAATAGTAATTTAACATTATCTGAGGAGCAGATTGCTTTGACGTTAACTCCATCACAGAACTCTCATCTTGAGCAAGCATGAAGGCGACAGTGGAAAGGAAAAACTCCCTCATGAGGAAGAAACATTTAGCAGAACCAGGTTCAGGACAAGCGGCCATCTGCTTCTACCGGATGGGTTTGGTAGGAACAGATACACAATGGCAGGTCAAGAATCACGTTAAAATAGAAATTGTTTCAAAAGAAACCTATTCAATTTTAACAATTCATTGAAGGAAATGAGGTAAATTTGTCTTCTAGTAATCTAAGTCTCTGGCAGCATAACAAGCCAACTCTAACTATAGGATTGATCAAAAAGGAAAGTCTTAAGCCCAGTTTGTAAACTGGACAATGTGTCAGCCTCACGGACAGAAACTGGAAGTTGGTTCCACAAGAGAGGAGCCTGACAACTGAAAGATCTTCCTCCCATTCTGCTTTTGGTGTAACTCTAGGGACCGCGAGTAAGCCTGCAGTCTGAGAGCGAAGTGCTCCGTTAGGAAAATATGGAACAATATTTCAAATATAAGATGGAGCTAGGTTGTTGAGAGCTTTGTATGTTAGAAGTAAAATTATGAATTCAATTCTGGATTTGGCAGGGAGCCAATGGAGAGAAGCTAAAATGGGAGAGATACAATCTCTCCCACTAACTCCAGTTAAGACTCTGGCAGCAGCATTTTGGATCAACTGAAGACTTTTTAAAAGAAGTTTTTGGACACCTAGAAAATAAACAATTGCAATAGTCCAGTCTAGACGTGACAAATGTATGAACCGGTTTTTCTGCATCATTTTTAGGTTTTTCTAATTTTAGTGATATTACGCAGGTGAAAGGAGGAGGTTCTAGTAACGTTTTTAATGTGGGGGATAAAAGACATGTCCTGATCAAAAATAACACCAAGATTTTTCACATTAGAACTGGAGAGCAGATTAATGCCATCCAAGGAAGGTGAAAGACTGAAAAATTAATTACTAAGATGCTCAGGTCCAAAAACTACAACCTCATTCTTGTCTGCACTCAAAAGCAGAAAATTTAGGGGCATACAGTTTTTTATGTCTTTAAGACATGCTTGTAGTCTAAGTAGCTGATTGGATTCATTGGGCTTCATGGACAAATATAACTGTGTATCATCAGTATAATAATGAAAATGCTGTTTAATAACATTACCTAACGGAAGCATATATAAGGTAAAGAGTATTGGTCCAAGCACTGAACCTTGAGGAACTCCTAGCCATTACTTAATCAATTTGGTAACCAAAAAAAAAAAGACTAAATGAATCTTTCTCCTCATCGCCCTCATCTTGAAGGTATGGGCGCATCAATACCTGCCACAGGTTACTGGAGACGATCACAGACTCTCGTCTGCTAAACGAAGGTGATGAACGGGGCCTGACGCCGCTCCATTTGGCTTCGAAAGGTGGACACACCAAAGTGGTTCAGCTGCTTCTGCGCAAAGGAGCGCTTTTTCACAGGTAGACCCCAAACCTGCTGCTGCTGAAAACATGCAAAGCTCATGCACAAGCGCACATCAGACTTTGTTGTTATTTATGGTCACTTTTGTCATACTGACACACCTGCAGTGTAATATATACCTGTGAAACTTTTGACAGTGATTACAAAGGGTGGACATGTCTTCACCACGCTGCTTCTGAAGGATACACACAGACTATGGACATCTTACTGTCAGCCAATATCAAGTTAATGGATAAAACTGATGAGGACGGGGTAAAAGAGACAGCTGCTTTATAATTTCTACATGTATTATCAATAACCTCATGCATTTCTTTCATTTTTACCCTGAGCTTACATTTGTGCGATATAGTTTTAGCATATTATCTTAAAAATATGCATAAAATCCTATGTTTTTGGTACAATATGAACATGGCAGAACACTGCGCTCCATATTGCTGCAAGAGCGGGACATGTGGCTGCAGTCAGGCTGATGCTGGTCAGAGGGGCCGAGTTCGTACTGAACAAAAATGAGACTTCATTCCTCCATGAAGCTCTGCAGAACGGAAGAAAAGACGTGGTCAACGCTGTGATCGACAGTGACAGGTGCGTTCATGAAGCAAGACACAGTCTTACAAATATATTTTAAAAAGCAAACTTTTCCCCCTACCTAAAATAGGTAGAAAACTTGTCAAAGTACATGTTATATTTTATTTTATTTGCTGAAGAGTTCAGATAAATTCCGAAAGCCGAATTCATTTTGAGCTTCCATGCTTCCAGATGTGACGAGGCCTTGAGGCTGTTTGCTTCCGACTCCGATCAGCGATGCCCCATACTGGACATGATTGAGTTTCTGCCAGAGACTTGCAAGGTTTTGC